TGCCCAGGCCGGCTCTTTTGTGCCCGGCCCGGGCCCGGCCCGGCCCGGATTGATTTTTTTTTATTTTTTTATATGTATTATATTATATATGTATAATATATATATATATAATATATTTCTATATATGTATAATATGTTTTATGTGTGTATATATATACTCTCTCTTAGTATATAAGTATATATATGTATAAGTATATATAAGTATACTTTCTCTTATATAAGTATATATAAGAATACTCTCTCTTATATATATATAATGTATGTATGTATGTATATATATACTCTCTCTCTCTTAGTATATTATATGTATAAGTATATATAAGTATTAGGCCTAGGCGTCGTCAATCCTATTTGACTGATTCAATAGGTTTCTCTCTCTTCGACTACACAATCCACCAGAAAGTTTTTTGAGTAACCGAACAATCACAGTTACAAAATAAGTACATCGTGCAAAAAGGAAATGGTAACGGAGTCCATAGTTTAATACGTTTATACTCTTAGTTCAAATAAAAATAGGCAAGATCTCGAATTATATAGGATCCATACACAATACAGGAGCACATCATAGATACATTCAACTAAGAAAGGGCTCTACCCCTCAATGCCCAATAAGCAATCATCAATATCTCTACGGTTAATTACGGATAGACCCTCTATACTAATGCCCAATTGTAAATAGACCCCCTTAGCTCTATTGTTGCGAATAGACCCCTACTAATATCACCTAATTGTGTACATACCCACTTGTGATTTTTTAAAACTCTTTTAATGTACTATTTGTCAAAAAAATTCCTCTTCTTAAATAGTTAAAAAAATTCATTCAAGGGCTTGGCTTGATAGGGAGTTTGAGGAGCAAGTAGCAATGAGGTTAAATGGGCTTGGTTTGGTAGGGAGTTTGAGGAGCGAGTAGCAATGAGGTTAAATGAGAAGGACATCCCTTCTAGCCTTCATATTTTTGGTTGGAGGAAGAGCAAGACAAGGTGGATTCTTACCTAGTTCCATCAATTTGTTTTGCAGTTTTCTAGCTAGTTCATTTTGACTTGTCCATCCCCTCACTCCACCTCCCCCCTCCAAACACTCTACCAAACACAAAATTTAAATTTTGTACCTCCCCTCACTCCCCTCCAGCATAACCATGCCTCAAGGGGCTTTCTGCAACAATAGAACTACAGGGGTCAATTCGCAATTGGGTGATAGCACAGGGATCTATGTGCAACTAACCCAAACATAAGCCTACTTATGGTTCTTGCTGTTAGAGATTTCAGGATCCCAACCAGCAGAATCCCAGCTCCCGGACCCACAAGAACCTGGGGTGCCACAAATTCTATTCTGTAAATGCTCCAAGCTTGCTACTCGCTGCATCGAAGGAGCATTAAGAGAAGTGGAGGCAATGTCGGGGAGGTTGGGGTTGACTCTCCGGTGGTCATGAGTTGGGCCAGGGAAGAAAAGGTTCGGATCATCATGGATCGGAACAGCAGCATCAGAGGTTGCTTCAGATGGGCTCGCGGAGAATGGCATGCTGATGGAAGACATATCCGACATTGTTGGGAACATGGAAGCGCCAGTTACTCTCTTTACACCATCCTCGGCCATCTTGACCTGAACCACAAAGATTTTGATGGGTTAACAATTTAGGGGTTTTGTCATATTAGATCTCTAAATCTTTGTTAATTATGTATTAGATCCTAAAAACTTGATATTTCTAAATTAGACCCCTGGATCTTCGTACTTGTTTGAAATGGGGCTCCTATTTAAAAAACTTGATAGATTTGGGTGTCTTACTTATACAACTTAATGGACTTGAGGATCGTATTTAAAATAACCTAATGGATTTGGGGGTTTAATTTAAAAATAAGAAGAGTTGCGGTCTAATTTAGAATTTATAAGTACCGGGGCCAATATGAAGGGGGGGGGGGGGGGGCTCAAAGGATTTAGGAAATTCAAGATTCATGAAAGAGTGTGAAGGAATAGTGCTGAGGTGGCAGAAAGGTTTGGGGGCGGGCATGGTGGGGTGGGGATGAGGGGTTCTCTGATTTAGAGAGTTTGGGAGAGTTTTGTGCAAAACACCATAATATTCAAGATTTGTTTGGAAGATTTACCCTTCTTTCTTTCTGCCTAACTTCAGGAGGATTGGCCTATGCTTGGAGGAGGAAAATTCATGAAAGGAAGTCTACAAAATTGTAGTGCTATTATAAAATTGCTATCCACTCAAAGGGACTCCGTGTGACAAACAAAGAAGATTAAAGTGAAATGCTTGTATATGCAGAGGGATTCATAAGGATGTATGGTCAACATCAAAGATGTCCAGAAAATGTAGAGTTAAAACTTAAAATATCATGCAGGTTGCTAAGATGTCTGGTTAGTTTTAAGAGTCAGTCAGAAGAAAGTAATGCAATTACTGCATCCGGATACTTCGCAAGCCAAACTTTTGATGAAAGAAAAATATGAAGGTACAGGACTCACTTTTGCAGTACCCATGCTTTATGGATAAACATAAATTCCAAGAATATCATACTAGATACAGTTTAATACAGCACAAAACCAAGAGAGACGTCTTAGGTACAGCTACCAACATGTTTTTGTGTTGCTAGTACCATATTTGACATATATCACATATCAGAACAACATATCATAGTTGGATAAACATTAGCATATAGCAAAAGTACTATGCCGTGTTTGTCTATATAACTAATAACGTGTCAGAATAACGCACCATATTTTGGTAGCTAACAGCACATACCAAACTGTAATAGCACGGTTGGATGTACGGTAACTAGCTAACTATATAATACTATAATTAACACAAGTCAAACTATTGCTACATTTGGATCTATGATAGAATATATGCATTACTAATGTTATTTACTAATTGACTAGTTTATATACACTACACGCTACTACAATCTACATAACCCTGTTGACAACAATGGTATGAATTGCAATATAAAATTGAGTTTCTTGAACTTGAGAAAAGCCTAAATAAAGAGAACACATGCAAAAACTTATATCATGACGTCTCCATTAGATACTTCAGGGTTAGACTCAACATGCCTGCCTAATGAACAATTACCTTAGCCCGTAAAGTCTCCACATCTGCTTTCAGTATCCTATTGTCTACAGCAGCTTCATTGTACTTCAGGTTTATGTCAGTAAGACGCTTCAACAAAGCTGAGTTTTCACCTCGTAATTGTGACACCTTGCATCAGATGGATATTGCATGTAAGGATCAGTATTTCATAAAATATTAACTCACTCATCAGAGTACCAATAATTTATACTAGGATCAGACCTGTGCATCAAGCTCACTTAAATGTGCTTGTTTTCGTCTTCGAGAGCGCCTTGCTGACTCTCTATTTGAGAGCATCCTGTTGGGCAGGAAAAAAGGTCACGGTACCATATACTGAGTGACCTGATATGTTGCATATTTACTCTTAAATAAAAGGAAGCTAGCTTAAGTTATGCAAGACTGTCATCAACCTACTTTTTTCTCACAAATTACCATACACTTTGAAAACACAGTGAAGTGCCATGAAACTCGTAATTTAAAAAATAAATTAAAATAAAATAAATCCCTAACAGCACTGAGTGCATAAAGCTTTTTCCTCTTAAAGAGAATTTTCTTCCGAAAACTATCACTTGCAAGTCATTTGACATCTTTAGTATTGCCAAGACAACAAAAGGTAGTAACTAAACTTCTTTGAAAAGTTTATGGTTCTCTTCTTTAATTTAGAAATTTCCCGATACAGGCGAAATGAAAATTTCAAAAAAGTTAAAACAGTTTTATGCAAGTTAGAACAACAGAAAATTTGCCTATATGCAGTCTATTAACCTTAAATGGTAGGCATGTGTCATTGTGGCATTCTCATAGTAATATGGACTTACTTAAAAGAAGCCCCAAATTTGAGTAAAGAGACCAGATATTTGTATTAAGAACACAACTTTGCAATGTCGCAAATATTCAAATCAAGTTTCCAAGTTCAAATTGAACTCTATAAACCAATAACATAGTAGAAGTTCATACAAGGCCAAGGATAGAGTTCATACAATACCAAAATAATGTGAATTCTTCATAATGCAAAATTGGCTTCTTCTAAAGACTCCACAATGCATAAGCGCAATCTTTATCATGCTCAAGTAACTTAAGAGATGTCTCGATGACTGTTGTTATTACTTGAAGAATTATTGCTCATGCAGAGCAGCAGAAGTATCATGGAGGACAAGAATTATAAATTCTGTGGTGTCTGTGTGTTGATGGGTATGGATATCCCATATTATGCAAGCAAAAACAATGTGAATCCGACCTTCCAGTTTTAGTGAAAAGGAAGTAATGGTACATAACTTTAATGATAAAAGAAAGAAATTATTATCAGCTCAATCACTGGCCACTGTCTTTACCTTCTTGCACGTTTTACATCAGCAGGGTCCATGTTATCAGTCATTTCAGTTTCTCCTTCAAGGTCGTCATCATCAGATTGCTCTCTTGATGAACCACTTGTAACTGGCCGGGCCTGAACCCCTGAATTCTGCAAGATGGGTATGGCTGGAATTCCGCTTGACCCACCACCTGTTTTAGTTGAACTTTAGAACTACTTCCTGGTCATATATAGATAAAATGCAAACCAGAAACAGTTGCATCTCAATTCATACTAACACACACTAGAAACCATATATAGAGCCATAACCATATAGTGACATGAGACATCTTAATGTTAATATAGACATTTTGATGAAGAAAATGAGATATAGTGCAACAAGTTGATAAGTAGTGCCAACAAGTTGATAGCATTTGGCTTTTACCAAAAATTGACTCTAATGCTTAAAAAAACATACAAGCCTGGTTCTGTTGCTGATCACATTTGACCAACACCAGACTAGTTATGTCACTGCAATGAAGATACGGACAAACCGAACCATGACAAACATCAAAGGATATAGCATTATGCTGAAGAATTCATAGCCCTCAATCTTATATAGTCCATGCTTCTAGACAGTAATGCAGATAGGGTGGCAATATAGAAGGTGGAAGCAGCTTAGAAATTCATGGGATTCGGTCAGTCAAGTTCGTTCCATCTTTGTCTGAATGCCTAATGACTGAAAGAATCCGGTCACACAAGCACCGAGCATCATTATCCTCAAGTTTAAAGCTTGTATATCGTACAACCTCTTGTGTACATGGCATAGCTTTTACGACATAGCTAGGACTCTAACATCTAACAAGAGATGACAGAAACCCATCAAACTAGTTTCAACTAGTGGTCAACGAAGATTACGTCAGGTTGAATTCGAACATAGAATGACACAGACCTAGTCAACTTAGCCCTACTAGTTTTATATATAAGCATGATAATATGCCAAGACAAAGGGCCTGGGAAGGGTCTGGGCTGACATATGAGTCCCAACCTTAACCTGTTATTTATAGAGATGGGGTTTCAATGGGCTAGCCCAATGCTAAAGCAACATCTTTTTATGAGTGTAATCACTAAAAGACTCTGGTCACACAAGAACCAAGCATCATTATCATCAAGTTTAGAGCTTGTATATCGTACAACCACTTGTGTAAATAGCATAGCTTTTACAACATCACTAGTATAACTCTATCAACTAACAAGAGATGACAGAAACCCATCCAACTAGTTTCAACTAGAGGTCGGGCAAGACTATGTCAGGTTAAAAGGCAAACATAGAGTGCTGAAATATGATAACTTACCCATACTAGTTTCATATAAAAGCATGATAATACGCCGAGACAAAGGGCCTGGGAAGGGTCTGGGTTCACATATGAGTCCCAACCTTAACCTATTATTTATAGAGATGGGGGTTCAATGGGCTAGCCCAGTGCAAAAGCAACATCCTGAAGTTACCTGCTAGTGTGCTGAAACAAATAAATATCTACCAATTGCAAAAATAACCAAATATCACATGTCAATAAAATATAAACAAGAAATATCACCAAACTCTAAAATGACAGATATAGCAACATTCTTTTTTCTCACTCAACTCCAAATATATAAAGAGACTCTACAAATAGTAAGACAATTGTGTGGACCTATGGGTTAGCTAGCTGATGAATGAAAACTTGGTTGGTTTGCAAAGAGGGACCAGCAAAGGGCCTCCAAATGGACCAGATAGCTTCTCATAATTGAATATCTAATAGACTTAGATTTTGACTCCTACCTTTACTCTGTTTTTGAGACGGGGAAGCTGCAGCCGGGCATTTTTTGGGGCTGGATTTGGGTGGCTTAAGCCAGCCACCAACCTATTATCCTTCTCTAACCATGTCCAACTTATCTACCCAATAAGACACTGAAATCTTTATCTGTGAGATGAGAGAGGACCCGAAAACTATTTTCTAATTGATGCAAAGTTTAGTAATCACAAAACCTCTTAAGAATTCTACATTTAGTTCAAATTGGAATTGAGTTAGATTGGACTGAAAAACAAGCAAGATATTTTAAAACACCGATATCCAGCCCATTAGATCTTCTTTATCAGACTAGCGCAACGATTAAGTTGTCATCGAAGTTTCTTTATGGGCTTCATAACTCCACTCCTTTGCATGACTAGACCTTTATGGGCTTCATAACTCCACTCCTTTACATGACTAAAGAATCATACTCTCATGATAATCTTTACAAAGATCTTAATTACAACATCAATATAAAACGTACACAGTTATACACATGAACTTGGAAAACACCAATAGTCTCTGTTTCCAAAACAAATTCATGGATATATTTGCGTGAATTGTTCTTCATAAGGGCAATATGATGTGCATGTGTTTTTATGCTTTTCAAATTCCACATGAGATATACATTTTTTCAAAAGCTCTTTCAGGGGAAGGAAAACAAATAGGGCGAACATATTTCTGTGGTTGCAGCCCTCTCCACCACGCTGATTGATTATAGTCAAAAAATTCCTGTGGTGCAATTCAATTGGGGAAGGTTGAACGTAATTTACTTGGGAGCAGGAAAGCAATGCCTTAGTCATCTCCCCTACCCACTTAAAGGCACATTAAACTATCCTATCAAGAAGAAAGAAAGCCCTCCTCTACTCCGTCCCTGCACCCTTGTTGCTCCCTGTCCTATTCATATTTTCAGTTTGCTTTCTCCATTGTTAGTTATTCAATTCATCCAGATTAGCATTTTTGAATATCCAGGATAGCAGGCACATTGATCATCCATTAAAACTCTCAAAACCTGAAATGTAGTGATATTGCACACTTCCGAGGGAGTAGCCTAACACTAGAACATATGAACAGTTTAACAGGTGCACAACCAATAAGCCTACTTATAAATAACTTGAACCATTGTCCATCAAATTAATGAAGGATAGAAAACCTGCATACCACTCAATGGAGCTTGAGGTCTCAGCTGTGAGGAGTCTGAAACTGGGGACTGGGACTCAGGTACAGAGGAATCCTGGGGCTGTATGCCTGAATTCTGCATGAAAATAATAGTAGTCCTTAATGCAAAATGGTGCTGATTGGTTAAATTATGTTAATAGTTCTACCAAATATCGTGGGCAACAACAAATATTCTTCACCTTCATTGAAATTACCTAAATAGAAAACCAAGCACCAAGCTCTGAGCATTAACCGACTTGGGAAAAAAATTGTGATAATGTGGACAAGACATATCAACTGATATACCACAATATAAGTCCAGATTTCCGCCAATATAAGGGACGATCAAGCTTTAATGACATGTTAAGAGTATAAAATTAGCTTGTGGTTATTTAATGCAATTCCTCTCCAAGAATCCTAATTTCATGAGATTCAAATTTTCTTTACCCCCTAACCTGTATTTTTACAAGGCATATTTGGACTTTAATACCCCCAAAGTTCCCACTCTTTTTTAACTTTGATACTCTGCATTTCTATTTTGATAAATTGATTCCCAAAAGTTTCAAATTAACGATAATTTGATAGTTTCATACCCTCAAGCCCTGGCTTTATTTCCTCATATCCCCCAAACTCAAAAACTGAAATTGGTAAGAGAAATTGTTTCACACTTTTCTACGTTGATATTCTTGAACAAATTAAAATCAGAATTTTTTGCTTTAGTAGCTTATCAATTGTCAAAACAAACTTCAGTTGTATCAAAATTTGGAAAAGGCCAAAACTTTAGGGTATTAAAGTGCAAATATCCATCGTTATAACTCAAATTACCCTAGCTACTGCAACGGCGTGGCAGTACAAATCCAGCTTCTGCTTCAGCATCGCCGCGTACTCCTTGGGATCAACCTCAGCCGTTGGATCAGACGACGTCGATGGCGGCACCGAACCAACGGCGGAGATCTGAGGCTTCTTGATCTCGACGATCTCATCATCGAAATTCGAAGAGACGACAGACGATGGGCAAGGATTGTTAGGGTTTGGACCTGGATCCGGGTTCGGATTCAAATTAGGGCTTTTTGCGACCGCGGCCTCCTCTTCTAGAAACTTCTCGAAGAACCACTCCGATGGGCTCCGATTCATTGGCGGGGGATGGTGTCCAGAACGGGTCGGGTATTTCGTCGACGGAGAAGACCCGATCCATTTCGATATCGGAGCTCTGACAAGGTTGATGAAAGAAAAAGGAAACTAGGACAAGGACCTGACGTGGGTATCACTGTGAAACTGATGGGAAAAGGCTCGAAAGAGGACAATGATGTAGTCTTGGAGAGGACCGAAATTTACGAAAATCACCTTAATAATCTGTATGGACTTACCAATCACATATACATATACTCGTACTAATTTGGAAAATACCATTTGGCTCGCGCGAGTTGCAACTCGCGTGAGACAAAACAGGGGGGTGGGACCCACAGCTGTGGGTCCCACCCCCCTGTTTTGTCTCACGCGAGTTGCAACTCGCGCGAGGCAAATAGCAGGGCTCTACTAATTTTTATGTACGTGCATGTACGTGGTTAAATAACATAATTGTTTATTTTTAGTTTATTTTTTTACTAAAATTTATTTTTTAATTTTAATTAACATACTTATGTCTCTAAAATAATATACTTATGTCTCTAAAATTTAATATTATGATTATTAATCTTTTTTAATGTTTGTTTGAATGGGGTACATCCAATTTTAAGTTTCATGTTGATAATTGAATTGACATAAACCTAACATGAAGCCAATTTGAATATTCATGTTATTTGGATCGACATGAAAGGAAGTTTTACCTATAGAAGTGTTATGATATGGTGTTGTCACTCGCCGAAATACAATTTATTGACAAGTGACGGATAGATGTATTTTCGCAATCAATGCCCCAATCAACTTGGTAGCCCAAGCCCAGCAGAATCCGACTTAGTTGACTGGTCGACTAGAAAAACGATACTAGTCGACCCGCTTGTCGAAGACGACTCACCAGGAGTCCACTCGACCATGTGACTAACGCCTCATGAGGACGACTCGAAAGGCATTACTTCTTGGTGAAGCTAGAGGATAACTTCTGCTTCGAGCTTATCCTCGCTGAGAACGTGTTCACGTCGCATTTAATGCTTAACAGGCATCATCATGCCTCTAGCCCCAACAGTTTTTATGACTCATCGGACCACGTGGGCCACCGTCCCACGTGGGCCACCGTCCCACGTGGGCCACCGTCCCACGTGGGCCACCGTCATACTCCCCCTCACTTCTCATTTAATGCTGAGGAGATCCTCCCTCCAGTCGTCAGCCGACACCTGTAAAGCAGAGGCTGACCCAGCTGCCAGCCCGCACTTCGTCACAACCCTTCTGTGCTTGGCCGAAGTGACTAATCTACCCCTTATGCACTGAGTATAAATACATGTACTATTCTAACATTCAAGGGGTTCAAGTGACTAATCTACCCCTTATGCACTGAGTATAAATACATGTACTATTCTAACATTCAAGGGGTTCACCAATCTGATCCTCTAACACACACACTGCACATATAAATACATGTACTATTCTAACATTCAAGGGGTTCACCAATCTGATCCTCTAACACACACACTGCACAATTACAAGAACACACAGTTCTTCCTTTACCCCACTCAAGTCATCAGCTAACTTGGTCGTTGGAGGTACAATGGGGGGACCAATCCCTGCCCTCTCACAAATTTCTGTATGTGCAGATTGTTCATTAACCCCGTTCAAGAACCAGACATAAAGTCAGAGAAAAAGCGGTCCCTCTTCAATACTAAACAAACTGATCCTATCCTGGATCTAACTAACTGTGTGATCATATAAACCATCAATAGTTTGGCGCCCACCGTGGAGCCTTCTTTCTTTTTTTGAGAAAACATGTCAAAGAGCAAGGGTCTGATCAGTCTAGCCCTGAAGAACAATACCAGAGCTACGTTACCCGAGCCCAGCTCAAGCAAACTGCTCACAAGCTTTCTCAGTCTTTCCGAGAACAATTCGCTACCCTCACCAGCGAACTTCTCAGTCGGCTTCCGCAACCACAGCAAGCTACTTTAGCTTTCCCTCCCCCCTCAGGAGACCAACGGTCGGAGGCTTACCCTTATGGAACACAGCAGGCGCTCCCTTTCCGGACTCTTCATGCTGCTGCTAAGCAGCTGGGGAATCGCGTCGAGCACACATCCATGCTGCCTAGTCAGACGACCCACGTTGACGAGCCGACACTATTGCCGTCATCAGGAAACCTCTGGCGAGAGTCCTGATCTTGGTCACTTTGAGGATCGTCCTAAGGGAGTGGCCTCTAAGGCTCTCCTCTATCATCATGCATCCCCGGCTCCCTCGGCCACCATTGGATCCTCGGGATATGACCGGGTGTGTTGACTAGTCACCGACGCTATCAGGGGTAATACTCTTCTCTCTGACGGCGTCATGCATGCCCCATGTGAGAGATTCAAGATACCTCACGTGGGGAAGTACAAAGGTGAGGGAGATCCCTATGAGCATGTTCAGAATTACTACGATGTGATGAGCATGCTCTAAGCTTTGGAAGCGGTCATTTATCGATACTTCCTAATCATTCTTTCAGGGAGTGTCAAACTCTGGTGGAATGCTCTTGAGAAGAAATCCTTCAGCAGCTTCCAACAACTCAGCCGGAAGTTCATCCACCACTTCCTGGCTAACACCAAACAAAAGTTGCGCCCTTATGTATTGATTCAAATGAGGCAGGGGCCCAAAGAGAGCCTCAGAACCTACTTCAAGAGGTTCCAAGCGAAGAGGTTAGAGGTCAATGATCCAGGGAGTGCAGTCTCCATGTCTGCACTCGTAGCTGGCTTGTAGAGCAATGAGTTAGCCGACTCGCTTGCCAGAAAGTCAATCGCCAATTATGAGCAGCTGATGGCCAAAGCCCATGGGTATATGAACATGGAGGATGCCCGATTGTAGAGACTTCCACAACCATAACTTCAGTTGCACCGATAGTACCGATCACCCTGTCAACTTTGGCAGTAGTATCGGTAGTGGTACCAATGCTCGAGCCGACCAGAAACTCCCCTGCAAGGCAGGAGTGGCCGAGAGACCTTACGAGGGTTGACCCTCGTTCCAATCGGTCCAACAAGAGGGACCGACAGAGGGACCACACGCCAAAGGCAAACCTCACCATCTTCGACACCTCCCTCACTAATGCTCTCGCCATGGTTCAGAAGGAGGGACACCTTAGGGAGCTAGCCCCTAAGATTAGGTCAAATCCAAAGAACCGAGACACCTGATAGTTCTGCCAGTATCATCAAGATCACGGCCACCTCACCAATGACTGTAGTATCCTCAAGAGGGATATTGATGACTTAATAGAGAGAGGGTACTTGAAGAATCTTGCCTCTTGACGGGACCGCAGAGAAGCCGACCCACCCAGAGCAAACAAGAAACCCCGTTTGCGGTCACCTCATCCTCAACCGCAATGAGACAGTCGACCCCCAGAGCCTAGTCACAAGGGGGTCATCAACATAATTAGTGGTGGTCCCACTATTGGAGGATCGTCCAACAACGCCCGGAAGAGGTATGCTAAGAGGGCGTTGCAGGTCGACTAGAACAACAAG